AGGTCCCTGCCCACCTCTGAGTTGTCCCATGTGCTTGGGAGCTGGTTCTGCTCTAGAACTGATGCCCACTCTCCCAAACTGGGCAGCCTCTGCATGCAGACTTCTGGGTTCTTGGGGATTCTCCTCCTTGCCCCTCACCAAAGCAGCATCTGCCAGCCCCCTCTCATAGCAGACACTCCCACCTGGATGTTCATGGACAATGCATTTAGCACTTCTGGGCCCAGACCATCAGCCTGCCTGCTCTGGGGTGCCTGGGAGAGGGGTCTTGCCCAAGCCCCTCCCAGAGGCTACCTCCAGCCCACACCTACCACCAGTGGCTGACTGCCCAGTCTCTGCCCACCAGTACCCAGAAGCTTCCTCCTCCACAGGGCGAGAACACAGCATGCTCCTCCAGCCAGGAGCAGGGGATCTGCTGAAGGGGCAGTTCTCTGCACCAAAGGTGGCTTCAGTGTGACATCGGGGGAGGGGAAGAAGAGGGGCACAAGGAATCCTGATGCCACCTGGTGCAGCATCAACAGCCCAGCCTTCCTGGCCCAACCACTCTCACTCCTTCTGCTGTTCTCTGAGCACCTGGGTGACAGGTGTTCCTGCTGGGACAACAGGGTGCAAGTCCTAAAAGTCTATTGTGTGGGGACCCTTCACCATCATGACCTGCAGGAAGCCCAGCATGGAAGGCATGGTGGTGCCACTTATGCACTGGGGCTCAAAGAGGGCCAATCAGGTGCCTGGGGACAGAACTGGCCCATGATCTCCTGGGATGCAGGAAGTAGTCTGAGCCAGAGATGAGGGGCAGGACAAGGTTTTAAGACTAATGGGCTCTCCTCCTACAGGACAAAGACAATTCTGGTGCCACAGTCCTACATCTAGCTTCCCGCTTCGGCCACCCCGAAGTGGTGGACTGGCTGCTTCGTCATGGCGGTGGGGATCCCACCGTGGCCACAGACACGGGTGCCCTGCCTGTCCACTATGCCGCCGCCAAAGGAGACTTCCCCTCCCTGAGGCTTCTCGTTGGGCATCACCCTGAGTAAGGACACTCGTCAGGGGGATCACTGGGTGGGACGGGCCAGGGCTCTGGGGGAATGCCTAAAGTCTGTGCCCCTCCAGCATTCCAGAGGAATTACTACTCCTGGGCCATTCTAGTGGCCAGAGGGCCAGGCCAGGGGTAGCGCCTACCCAAGCTGAAATGTGTCCCCCCGCAGGCTGCTCACGGCCACTTGCTCCTGAGCTCTGCAAGCAGAGGCTCCCAACCACTGCACTTGGGAGGCTGGGCATGCAGACCAAGGTCACATGCCTCCAGGAAGCTTACCCACCTGCCAGAGGTCAGGTGGCTCCCTCTTGAGCTCTAGCCTAGGCTGTTTGCAAGGCTGTTCTCAATGAAGAGGAGGGGTGAAGACACAGGAGCGTCTCCTAAACTGGTAGCCAAGAAGGAGGAGGAGCCACAAACAGTGAAGGGCGGGGCCTGCCCGTCCGGACTCCCACCCTGCCTCCTAGCCCTGCAGCCCCCCTGGCTAGGCCTCCGGAGATCAGCCTGTCATTTCCTGCGACCCCTCAGCCCATTCCCACTACCAACAGGGTGGGGGTCCAAAACCCCCTGGGTCCCTCCACCAGAGTGGCTGGTTTGAGAGTGCAGCCAAGCAGTGGGCTAGGAGCTCCCCAAGGTGGGGTGGGGGTACAGGAAGATTGGGACTCAATGCAGAGCAGGGGGTCGCGTGGGGGTTCTTGGGTAGGGAGGGAACCAGGCCTCAGGTGGACTTGGGGTGAGGCAGGGGTCCCGGAGGAAAGCTACCCAGTCCCTGTGTGAGGGAGTGGGGCATCCGGGGCCCTGAGGACCAGCCAGGTGGAGGCTCTGACCCTCCTTTGTCAGTCCAAGTGGGCACCTGGGACATAAGCAGCCACAGAGGACCCAGCCTCAGGAGAAGAGCAGCCACGAGGAGGTGAGGGGCTTGGTCCCAACACTGGCTCCACTCCCCGATGCGCCTGCAGGGTTACTGACCACCATGGCCTCATGGCAGAGTAGCTGCACCGGCAGCCCCTGGACTGGTTGGTGGGAGACCAGAAAGTGTGCCTTGCAAGCCAGGCCAGTCTTTGCGGCACCCCTGCCGGGGTCCACTTGGCATCACTTTGGCGTGAATTCTCTGCTTTCGGACAAGGTAGGGTTTGGATCACGTCAAAGTCAGTGGAATTCAGAATAAAGGGCCCCGAGGTCCTTGAATGTAGGTTCCTGGCCTGGCACCCATCGGCAGCCCGGCGGGGCTTGAGCCAGACCCTGGATTGGACTCTCCGGGCAGAGGCTGTGGAGCTGACCTGTTAAACCCACTGTGGTGATTTCAGTGCTCCTGTCCCACGCTCGCTTATCACAGGGGACACTGAGGTCCTGAGAGGGGAGGGACAGGCTATGGTCTCCATCCTGCACCCACCTGCCTCCCCAGTCACATATAGTGGGACCCCAAAAAGCCAGGCTGATGGCAATGCCAACTTAGCCCAAACCATGTGAACTGAGAGGGCTCCAAGCCCACCTGCTGCTGAGGAACTCGGGTGGGAGGGGTGGGGTGAGGCCCCTCCTCACAGAGAAGCCTGGGGCCTAGGAGGACCTGGAATCCCAGCCTCAGGAAGACTGGCTGGTGCCATGCTACAACACCCTGTCGGGTGTTGGGGCCTTGGGGACCCTGACCCCTCCTACGCCATGCCAGGCGCTGACTGTGATTGGGCTCCAGGGCTGCCTCTTTAGCCAGATGGCGCAGGCTGATGATCCGCCAGCCCTCAATGGCCCCCATGAATCTCGGGGAGGTGGACAGTGGACTTGGGCTGCATTCCCACAGCCCAGCTGATAAGGAGGTGCTTTTGTGTGGTTGCCAAGTAGGCAGGAGGGGGTGGCTGGGAATTGGGGTGGGGCCTGCCAGCAGAGGAGTTAGGAGTCAGTACCCACTTAGCCTCTGTCTCAGGGGTGAAGACTCCTGTTCCCCAAGGCTGGGGACCCCAGGGCTGGGAGCCAGGGAGGGGACAGGCTTGGGCTGCCCTGGGCCGCAGGGCACACTCGGGGGGCCCAGGCAGCAGGTATGGAGGCTGCAGCTCTGCCCACTGAGCTCCCGGCTTGCTGTGAAGCACCATGAATTATTCACAAGGGCTCAACTCTCCCCGGAGGGCGGGTGAGGGAGGAAGGGCTCCCAGACCTCCCTGTGGGAAACTCAATCTTGCCCAGGGAGACTGTGGGTGGCTGTAGGCCTTGGCAATAACAAGCCCCAGGGGGGCAGGAGGGCTAGATGGCCTTGGGGAGGGCCCAGCTGGTGTGGGGCTGCACCCTGGGGTGCAAGCAAGGCTTGAGATTGCAGGGACCCCCTGCGGCCCCCTTCCCCTCCTCCAGTCTACCCCAGTCCACTGGGCAAATCCTCCCCAAAGCAGAGGAATTGCCAGTGACCTTGGGGGCTGCTGTCCTGTGGGGACCCTCTTTGTGGAAAGAGGCTCCTAAACTGGAGGCAGAGGCTGGCAGGCAGGGCCGGAGCTGTCTCAGGCCCTGGGTCTTAAGGAGACGGACTTGGGAGGGCTGACCCACCACCCAGGAGCCCTAACAGCTCATGGAGGGGAACCAGGTGTTGGGATACCAGGCGAGGCAGACTGGGCAGGGGCTAGGAACGGGTGGTCCCTGGCTCCTGACCACCTGCTGGCAGGGTCTACCCTTGCTGTTTGCTGAGTTCACCCAGGCAGCAGGGCAGGGGGGAGCCTGTGCTGGCACATCAGGGTCCCCTGGGACCCTAACCCAGGTGGAGGCTCTGAGAAGGAGAGGCCTGGGAAAGTCAGGGGAAGCCCCCCTCAGTGGAGGTAGCCGTAGGCTCCCCCAGCCAGAACTGGCCCAGGCCTGTTGTCACCGAGCCTGACGGGCCTCCCTTCCCTGGACTTCCTCCTGCCCAGCTCTGTCCACCTCTGAGAATGCCAGTCAGACCCCTGGATGGGCCACAGGCTCCCCACTCTCTGACAGGGAAGGCCATTTCCTTTGGTGGCCCAGCCACCCCCCTACTGTGACCCCAGCACTTCACCTCTGGCTGCTCCCCCAGCACCTGTCTGCTCCTCCTCCGTGGTCCTCGCTGCCCCATCCACAGGCCAGGCTTGTCATGCTGTTCCCACTGCCTGGAGCAATTCCCCGAGAACCCCACAGCTGCACTCACCCCTCCTTCTAGCCTTTGCTCCATCTCCCCTTCTCAGTATGGCCCCCCTGAGCCTCCTGCAGACTGTAATGCCCTGTACCCCACAGAACACATGCACACTCCTGGGCTGTCCTATTCTCTGCACCTTCTCATAACACACCCTGGCCTTCCATTCGGTGGGTCTCGGTGAGTTCTCTTGCCGTCCATCTCCCCAGCTAATGGAAGCAGACCTTGTCCTTCCCCCCTAGTGCCTGACACACAATAAACACCTGTTGAACGGATGAGGGGTATGGAATCCCAGGGGCTTGTCCATCCCTGCCTGCAGTTCACTGTGTGTGGCCTCAGACAGAACTCCCTCTGGGCCTCCCTGGACCCATCTGACAAATGGAGCGGCTGAGGCCACGTGTGAGGAAGCATCCCAGAGCCCCTGGCCCTGCCGCCTGCCTCACTCCTTCCCACAGCATTCACTCAACAGTCAGCATCCGAGCACGCCCTAAATGCCAGCCTGGGCGGTGCTAGGGCTGCAGCGAGCCCTCACTGCTTCGTGGAGCCGACGTCTGCAGAGGCTCATGGGAGCGAGTTGAGGACACAGGCGGAGAGCACATGCCACACTGGGAGAAGTGGTCATTCGCATGTGTGTCGGTTGCCATGTGGCAGCCCTGGTGGGACGGTGCTGTGAGCGGGCAGGGCTCTGTTGTTTGCACTGCTCTGCCCCATCCGGCCAGCCCGTGGCACCCTTGTGATATGTGTACCTGCAGTGAACCTTCCGCAGCTCAGGCTGTGGTTCTTCCCTGAGCAGGCCCACTTTGGGTCTTTTTAAATAAGCCAAGAGGCATGACTGGAGACATAGAGCTGCTCAAGGTTCCGTGACTTTTATTCAGAGCAGCCTCCCCCACAATGCTATCTACTTGTGGGTGGCAGCCCCTCTGGCCTCCCTTGAGGCAGGAATTATTGGCGGGGTTAAGGGCTGCTGGAGACGATGTTCTCTGGCCTGAATCTGGTTCCGTGGGCAGGTCACTCCTTGTCCTTTGTAGCAACGACAGCAGTAAGCTGGCACCAATGTTGGGCAGAGATTTCCAACAAACCCTTCCAAGCATGTCATGTTCCTTTGGTGTCATTAGAGGGACTTATTTAATAGTTACAGTTTGTTCATATCATCTTTTTTCCTAAGAGGAAAAAAACATGATTTTATGCAAGCATTGTTAGGGAGCTTCAGACCCATACAGAGGTCAAGGGTCATGGGTCTCCAGAGACTCCTAGAGCTTGGGCTCAAGGGAGGGTGGCATGGTGTCCTTTACAGAGAAGAGGAGGGTGTAGGGAGAAAGCCGAGGATCTGCTCTAGGTAGGTAAAATTTGAGAGGCCTGGTCAATGCACAAATGGATGTGTAGGCTGAGGTAGGGGTCTGGGTATAGGCTCCAGGTCCAGGCTAGAGAGATGAGTGGCATCAGGTACAGGTGGCCTTTGACCCCAGATAATAGATGACCTCATGGGGGAAGAGTGTGTTTAGAAAGGAGGCCCTGGGATACCCTGATATTTGGAGGTCAGGCAGGGGCTAAGGGCCCAGGAAGCCTGGTAGGCGAGGTGGGCGCTTGTCCAGAGGCGGAGGACATCTGTTAGGGAGCAGCCAGGTTGGAGGAGGACGGGGAAAACCACTGGTGTTGGTAGCACGGAAGGGACAGTGCTGAGGCCCGGATGGGTGAGGGGCTGGTGATCGGGAAGCTGAGGCCTGCCTGCCCTCGGGGGAATGGTGCAACCTTCAGAAGTTTGCTCTCTGTTCTCTTGCAAGAGGCATGGAGAGGTGAGGTCTCTTGAGACCCCTCCCATCTCCTCTGAACAGGACTCTCCATGGGAGAGACCACGCCTTGCCTGCTCTGTGCTTGGGGGGTCCAGATGCCCCAGGCCAGCATTGCCCTCAACGAGAGGCACAGGGAAGAGGGATCCTAAGCTGTAACATGACTCAAGGCAAGACTGTGGCACAGCTTGTGGGGGCTCACACCCCAGGTCCTGCTCACGCCTGGGTCTTCCTCTGCCTCCCTCTTATCCAGAGATCTTAGCCCTTGGGCCTCAGTGCCATCATCTGTAAAAGGGGAGCAGTGCTAACACCTAGTGACTGAGGCCATCAGGACCTGATGCAAGAATCTGTATGTGCTGCTCATTGCAGCCCTGGGAACAGAGCAGTTACCCAGCAAATGGCATCTGCTCTCACTGTTACCGATTATTATTAATTACTGCTACTAGAAATTCATCTCTCTCTCCATCTAAATTCACTAATTTTGTTCCTTATGCTCATCCATCTTTGTATAATTTTCCCAGTGAGCCTGAGAGCACCCATCCTTTTTGCCGCCAAGAAAAGTAGAAGAGGATAAGATTGGGACCGCTTTTCCCAGCTGAGCCCACCAGTGTGTCTGCCTCTTGTCCTGTGACCCCAGAACAGGAGTCATGAAGGCACAGACTGAGACACTCAGTAATGGTGATAAATTCAAACACCCATCCGCCTCTCCCTGTGCACTGGGGACTGCAGCAGGGGCTGCCAGCCAGTGGCCTGGCAGGAGGCTGTGGCCATGGCTGTCCCCTCCTGCTCAGGCCCTGCTCTGTGCCAGCTTCTCAGACCTTCTCAGGCTGGCTGGGCACCCTTGAGTCATGGATACCTGCCAGGCAGGGGTTGCTGAGAGGTCAGGGGCTCCCGGCCGCTCTGGTGCCCCAAGCTGTGTATGTTGCCTCGGGCCTCCCCAAGAGAGAGCCCAGTGGGTCCTGGGGAGTGGCCCCCCCTAGCTGCTGATCTCCAGGACCCCAGCATCTGCTGTGCCTCGGTTACAGGGTGAATAATTCAGGCCACCGAGTGTGTTGGTCATAAAATATTAAACAGGCTGTCACAGGTGCACCAGCATGTGAATGTGGGGGGGGCCACGCCGGAACGCTGGTGGCCAAGAGCCAGTGTGTTCCCAGGCAGAAGCTTGGGGTGGGTCTCTGTCTGCCACTGTATGCTGGGTGGGTCACACCAGCTCGTGGGCACCTGTCTGTCCCTGACACGGGTGGGGTAACAGAGGGCAGCCAGGCTCGGCAACAGCCCAGCAAATGGCAGCTCTGTGTCTGGGGAAGGGAGAGCATTTGTCACACCGGGTGCCAGGTGGGAGCTGCAAGCAACCTGGGGCCAGGGGTCAGGGAGGTGGACAGGGATAGGAGAAGTCACTGGGAGGCCTGAGTGGGTGTGGGAGGAAGGGACCAAGTCGTGTCAGGGGTAACAAGAGGGGGAACGAGTGGGCATATGGAGGAGGGTGGGTGGCCTGGTGCCTGTGGTAATGGACAGACAGCTACCTGTGGGATGAGGGAGGGAGGGAAGGAGGATGTGGATGGATGGCGGTGGAGCGTGACTGATGTTGTGAACCATAGATGGGGGAGGCAGACAGGTGGGAGGACGTGAAATCGGGTGAACTGCACTTCCTGGGGCACAGAGGGCTGACGCAGCCCCTACCAAGCTTCCCAAGCTTCTCAGACACTGGAGGGCGGTGGGCCTCTCCTGGGTCTGGGCCTAGATTGTGGCTCCACTTAGTGACAGACTCTGGTAACTGCACTTTGGGCTGTTCACACCCATTGGTGAAGCGGGGAAAAACAGGCCCAGCCGGTGGGGAGACCCGTTTCCCCTATTCCCAGGAGCACTCCACTTTCCATGACTGGTTCCCTGCTCCCCTTATGTGAAGGACTGGGGAACAGGGATGAGGGGCAAGCTAGGCCCCAGGGAGTGAAGACATGGAATGGCCAGTCCACATTCCTTCTTCACTCCCTGTGTGCCTACTGTGTGCCAGGCCCTGCACCACACAGACAGATGCACTCAAATGCTACTTACCAGTTGCGTCAGTTGTGTGATCTTTGGCAAGTCACAGTCCCTGAGCCTCAGTTACACCTCTGAAAAATGGAATGACAGTAGAACCTAAGTTAAGGTATTCAGTGACAGCCTGCCTGCTAATATCATGGCACAGTGCTCAGTGAACCCCGTAGGGCTGCCAGATTACCAACAACCAGGATATCCAATTGAATTTTAATTTCAGATAAATAGCCATAGTTGGGATATACTTACACTAGGAAATGATTTGTTTATCTGAAATTCAGATTTAACTGGGCATCCTATGCTTTATCTGGCAATCCTGACACTCTGTCCTCTGGGAATTCAGTCTTTTGGGGAAGGCAGAGGCCAAAGTCAATTATGATTGGCCAGGCATGACAGGCATGTGTGCCCAGGGCAGTATGGGGCACAGAGGTGGGAAGGACTGCCTGGGGAAATCAGGGCAGGCCTCATGGTGGAGGGTTCTGTACTGAGTTTTAAAGAGGGAGGAAGAGGGAAGGACATTCCAGACAAAGGGGGACATGATCAAAAGCATGGAAGTCAGACAGCAAGTTTGGGGTCAGTGACCATGGGTCAGTGTGGCTGACATGGTAGGGAGAGGCCAGGTCATCACATCTTTGTAGACCTTGGTAAAAAGGTGGACTGTTTACTGAGGGCAGGACTGACTCGCTGTGCAGTGTGGAAAGGAAGCTGCTGCGGGGCGGGGACCCAGAGAGGCCCAGGGGAGCTGATGCAGGGCTAGGGGACCAGAGGAAGTCAGAGACAGCTGTCCCGTGGCTAGGCCTTGTCCACCCACCCTCCCAGCCCTCCGGAGCTACCCGGAAGGGGGCGAGGGGCGTAAGAAGCCTTTGGAGCGGGGCTGGAGGTTCAGGCCCACAGTGGGTGCTGCGTCTCTGCAGGGGAGTGAATGCCCAAACCAAGAACGGTGCCACACCCCTGTACCTGGCGTGCCAGGAGGGCCACCTGGAGGTGACGCAGTTCCTGGTACAGGAGTGCGGTGCGGACCCGCACGTGAGCGCCCACGATGGCATGACCCCCCTGCACGCCGCGGCGCAGATGGGCCACAGCCCGGTCATCGTGTGGCTGGTGAGCTCTGGAATAGGTTGGGGCGGGGCGCGGGAGGGACAGGGGCTTCACCTGACGGGGGCGGGGCCAGGAGGGGCCTAGCGCCCAGCCCAGCCCCTCTCTTGCCCGCCCCCTCCCGCCCAGGTGAGCTGCACCGACGTGAGCCTGTCGGAGCAGGACAAGGATGGCGCCACAGCCATGCACTTCGCGGCGAGCCGCGGCCACGCCAAAGTGCTCAGCTGGCTCCTGCTGCACGGCGGCGAGATCTCCGCGGACCTGTGGGGCGGGACCCCACTGCATGACGCGGCTGAGAACGGGGAGCTGGAGGTGAGGGCGGGGCGGGGCTGGGAGGACGGGCGGGGCGGGACGGTTCGGGCGCCCTCTGCTGGCGCTGCGCTCTCAGCACAGCCCCGCCCCGGCGCCGCGGACCCCGCCGGCTGCCCGCGTCCTCACCGCGGGCCCCCGCAGTGCTGCCAGATCCTGGTAGTGAACGGCGCGGAGCTGGACGTGCGCGACCGCGACGGGTACACGGCCGCCGACCTCTCGGACTACAATGGCCACAGCCACTGCACCCGCTACCTGCGCACCGTGGAGGACTTGGTACGACCCGGGTGCTGTTCCCCGGAGTTACCTCACCCCCGCGGTACCCCACCTCCCCCAGAGGCAGGTGTTGTTACCCCCTTTAACCACGGAGGGAGCTGCGGCTCAGGGACCTGAAGGCCCTTACCCTACCTAGGTCACACAACTCTGCCACAGACCATTAGCCACAGGACCTCTCAGCCCAGAAAGCAAGGGCATGGAGGCAGAGAGGCCAAGGGAGGGGGGCCAGCGTCATCTTGGTAAGAAGGAGGCTCAGAGAAATCAGACGTGTACCTGCCAGTGGGGCAGTCCAGTTCATTCGTTGCCCACAGCCGTCATGTACTAGCTCTTCTGACTGTCACTGCTCCGCTCTGGGGTGGGTAGTGTCAGTGCCCCCACTGCAGGTGGGCAAACTGAGCCTCAGGGAGACCCAGGGCCACACAGCTGTTAAATGGTGGAGCCCAGGGGGTGGGGGTCCGGGCCTGGAGCCACCTCTCCACCACTACACTGTGCGTTTGCTTACTTGGTGGTTATGAGAAGTGGAAACTTGTGTTATTCTTTAAATTATTTTGTTATGGTCAGAGTCATGAAGTCCCCGACTGGGACATGAGCTCAGGTATGGGTAACTCAGGTCCAGGGCTCTGCGCCACGTGGTGTGATCCTGTTTTGGAGCAGGAGGGAGGAAATGGGGTTGGGCTGCACAAGTGCCTCCTGAAGGGCCAGCTACAGGGCACAGTGAATGGGGCCACGAGAGGGGCTGTGAAATGAGGCCTGGAGGAGAGAAGTGGGATGGCCCCCTGCCCACAGCACTGTCTGACCTGTCTGTGAGCACACAGGGGCACTGGCTCTGGTATCCCGCCAAAGCACAGCAAGGCCCAGGGGTCAGGGACTGCAGCTGAACCCAGGAGGATTTCCCCCCAGAAGGGCCACCCAGAGAGAGTAGTGGCCCACCAGGTGGTGAACACCCTGCCAGTAGGGAATACAAGCCGGAGTGGACGCTGTAAAGGGCATTTCTGCATCAGAGGTGGGTTCCTTCCCGCTGAGAGACTGGCATTCTGTTTTGAGGATGGAGTAGGGGGTGGCACAGAGCCCTAGCCCCTCCGTCCACACTTGACAGTAGCTGCTGCTGCTGACAATAAGCACCATTCCTGGAATTCTGACTCCAGCAGGTACCCTGCTTAGCACCTTAGTGTGTAATCTCGGTTAACCTTCACATTAATACTCATAGTTGACCCATATGTTATTTACTGGCTATTTCACTAACTTCTAAAATCTTTTTTACAATCTGAAGGGGTAGGCAGTACTGTTATCCCCATTCACAGGTGAAGAGACTCAGGTACACACAGGACATAAGTGAATCGCCCAAGGTTGTGCAGCTAGTGCGCAAGAGAGGCGAATGTTGAAGCCACCATTCCAGGCTGCAGAGACTGTGCCCCTAACCTCTGTAATCTCTGGGGTCAGGGCTGGGCACCCTGAATGCCCACTGTTGTCGTCCAAGAAAAGAGCATCTTCAGCTGGGCTCCCCTTGGCTCATAGGTTAGGCAACAGGGCCAGGTCCCCCCAAACTGGGTGGGGTGACAGGGCCCTGGCCCCCTTGCCTAGACGGGCCCAGCTGCAGCAGCGACAGATCCAATCACGGAGGATGCTGGCCCAGAAAAGGCAAACACTCCCACAGAGCCCCTAATTATGGGGCCAATGAGCGTGGCCGCTGAGCTGTTACCTGGTGCTAGGCCTGCCTCCCACTCCCAGGGGGCCTGTGACACTTCTCGGCCAGGGAGGGGGCGCAGGGCAGGGAGGAGCAGGCCTGGGTAAGAGGCAGCAAACGGACAGGATTGCCGGCAGCACAGCCAACATGGGCAACGTAAGCAGGGCCCCCAACTCAGCCCATCTCAGGCCGGGGGGTCAGGCCTGTGGGCAGGGACCAGGATGGTGGGGGATGGTAGGCTTAGCAGCCTGAGCTCAGGCTGCACACCCAGCTAAGCTGGGCCACCCCAGGCCCCACCCTTTCCCAAGGGGCCCATCAGGAGACAGGGGCTGGCAAAGAGAGATGGATTGCTGGCCACGTGATGGGGGATCAGTCTTTCCTGCAGGTCGTAGGGGCCCTGCACCCCTGCCTCACCCCCAGCCGGGGCAAGTACTGTCACAGATGCAGACCTTGCACCCCTCCCCTCCCCACAGACACGCGGGAGCCCAGGCCTCGGCTGCGCTGAGGACGGAGAAGGCTGGTGACATAGCAGCCTTCCCCTTGGGGTCCAGCCTGGGGCCCCTCTCACAGCAGATTCTCACTGCCTGCCTCCGAGCAGGGAGGGACGAGGGGTAGGAGTTTCCCAGTAGGTGTGGCATTGCTGGGCTTGAATCTTAGCCTGGGAAGACCCTGAGAGACCCTCTTGTGATGGGGAAGTGAGCCCAGAAAAGGAAGTGGCTTGGCCGAGGTCATGCAGGGCATGCCTTAGCAGAACCCTGGCCAGGAGCAGTCAGGTCATTCTGACGGTCTCCCCTCTTTCTGCTCAGAGCGTGGAGCATCGTGTGCTGTCCCAGGATACGTCTGCTGAGCTGGAGACCAAGCAGCCTGACTCAGGCATGTCCTCACCCAATACCACCATGTCCGTCCAGCCACCGAACTTTGACCTCAGCTCGCCCACCAGCACCCTCTCCAACTATGACTCCTGCCCCTCCAGCCACTCCAGCATCAAGGGCCGGCACACGGCTCCTGGTGAGTGTCAGGTCTGGGAAGAGGGAGGGAGAGAGGCTGGAGCCAGCCCCTGGCCTGCTCTGCTCATAGCTGATGCTGGAGGCTGCCAGGTCACCACAAGGGGACACTGATTCTGGTGGGAGACAGGTGACACTCACACTTATGTGTGCCCAGCACAAGCACACCTATACACCCACATGTACTGTCCCTCAGACATGCACCCTGCATGTGATTCACAATATCCTCACTACACGTGCAGAAAACGTTCCCCAGACCCTACACTTACCCACCCACACTCAATAGTGTACTCTCGTACATGTGTGCAATGTACAGATATGAATGCACAACCACACATACAGAGCTGTGCAGCTATATGCACACAACTACCAGCACACATACACCATGTCCACAGACCAGTGCAAACATGCTCATAAGCACAGAGAAGCCTGTGCACACACTCACAAGCATGCCTGGATGCACAAATGCTCAGTCAGAAGCCAGGCATGCATGTTCACTCATGCTGACCACACCCTGAGCATGGGCGTCCGTCCACCTGCGGTGCCTGCTTCATGCCACTAGGTGGTGGTCTGCAGAGATGGCAGGGTGCCCTGCAAAGACTGTGTGTGGCTATGCATACTCCTCCCAGATCTGCCCAGAGGAGCTGCCTCTCCCCGCCCTAAAGGTGGCAGGCATGCCCTGGAGCCCAGGTTCCCTCCAAACCCAAGC